AAATTTGTAAGTTGATAGATACCCTACCTTCCTGTCTTCTGCCGTATCAGAATTATACCCTTTTTTTTTATGCGTATTTTTTTCATGATTATTGGGTTTTGCTCAAATTTGGAAGGTATTTGGTAAGGTTTGTCTTTTAGAAATGAATTGAAATTTGTATTGTTATTTCTGCTTTAATTTACGCCAACATTTAACGTTGATTGTTGCTTTCGATTCTCACAATTTTGTCGAGAAGAGTAATCCAAATTGTTGCGTATTGAGAAGAGTAATTCAAATTAAAATTGATCAACCTGCTCTAGTTTCAGCTTTAGATTGACCGAAGTGATCGTTTGAGTTTTAAATTCGTTGAATTGCTCTTTCGAGTTTTTTGTTGGGTTCGACCAACGTTATGCTAATGATCAAGAGGACTAATTCAATTTTTTATATGTTAATTACTGTTTTCTTATGTAAGTCGTGTTTTAACACTTAAAAACATTTTAGAATCAGTGTTAACTCTTCATCTCGTGTTATTCAGATTTTCTCTTTAGGTTTAAAATTTATTTTTTCAAATGGCAAGTTCCTTTTAATTTCAGAAGTATGAAAAACTGATAAGTTTATAATTGGGTAGTACATGCATTAGATTTCTTTGTGAATTTCTGTTGATTGGCATGGAAAATGTCTCAATTTGATAAGAAAATATTTTTTATGTTTTGAGGAAAACAAAAACCTACCCTCAAAAAAAGTGTTTTCATCAAAGAAATAAAGAAAATGAAAACTAGACTTATTTTCAAAGGTTAGAGAATATTTTCTATGAAAAAAGGGCAATGAAATACTCAAGTTGAAATTTGAGTGGAAAAATATCATTTTTCATGAAAAGTTTTCCAATCAAACACACCCTTAATATCAATTATCTATGGTATTGTCGTATTGGTGCCTGGTTTGAAGTTACAATTCTTTTGCTCCCATGCAAAAAATGGGAAATTATAATTTGGACCATGCTATATTACCAGAAGGATTTTGGCAGATCCTTACCAGATACTCACATGGAGTTTTAATAATATAAAATTATCTTCTGTTAAAATACTATCTTGCCCTTAATGAAATATTTTGCAAGGTAAGTCCTATATCTTTTAGTTGCTAGATAATTGGGAGTTATTATCTATACGATTTTCTTTTAACTTTTCTATTTGATCTAAGTATTTTCTTTTAACTTTTCTATTTGTTCTAAGTATTCCCTATATTCAATTAATTTTTCGTAAGCTTTAGGTTGATCTTCCCTAATTATGTATCCAAAAACAATTCCTTCTGAAA